TACCCCAACCCCCCCCAACTTCCCCCCCCCCCAAAAACAAGATAATGTGTTTATGAATTGATTGGACATCACACAAATAAAGTAAAGCAATCTGGTTGGCTGATAATCTCATTGTTAAATAAAACATCAATAAAAAGAAGAGAAAGACACCAAAATACATGGCGGGGCCAATTAGAATTTTAAAAAAATGAAATTGGCAAAATAGCAACGGTGTGCTTGCAACCTCACTGTCAATGAAAGCTCCTCCTCCTCATGTGCTAAACAGAACAAGTGGGTGTGAACAGCTTTCCTCAAGCTCAAGCGGGAATGGTTATTGAAAAAGCCTGTTTCCAAAGCCTATCAGGTGGCAGTCACAAAGGGATGGGACCTATTTGATCTGGTTGGATCAGGAGAGAGATATACATGAGAGAAGGCGGTCTCTCAGATAACCAGAGCCAGAGCCATGTAGAGTTTTGAAGATGACAATGAACAGTTTGATTTGCTCTTGGAAGCTGACCCGCAATCAGCTCCCTAATGGGAAGTGAGGTCAGTGGGATATCCTGGGAGATACCCACCACTGCCCAGGCAGTTGCATTCTGTAGTAGCCATAGCTTCTATAGTCAAGGGCAGCCCGACATAGAACCTACTACAGTAGTCTAAGTGAGAGATGACTAGGGCATGAGTGACAGTGAGAAGGGCTGTGTAATGGCCACAACTGATGCACAAGATGGAACAGCACAGAAGCCTCTTAGCCACAGCTTCCATCTGCTCCTCAAACAGCCGTTGTGAGTCTAGGAATACCACCAAGTTGCAAACCACCTCTAAACAGGGAAGTATAATTCCATTTGGAATCAAAGATGGTGGTCCCCTGGAATAATTTGGGCCACAAACCCAAAACGACTCTGTTTTGGAGGGATTCAGTCCTCCCCATCTAGATGCTGACAGCCTGCAGGCATCAGATCAGCACTTCTATCACATAACCTGTTCAGCCCTTTGCAGGGAAGGAGACAGTTCTAAAATTATCCCAGGTGGTCAGATTGAATGAAGTCTTCTTGAATGGAGAGTACACCATCGCCTCTTTCAGAAGCAATGGGATGAACCCCTTGCCCAAAGAATCATTAACTGCTAGCTGTGTTTGACAGGGAAAACGGAGTGAATGATTCCAAGTTATATATAAATAATGAAAAATTATAGAAAGTAGCTGAATTTATGTACCTTGGTAGAATGTTTACTAAAGATATGATAATGGATAGAGAAATTTTGAGATGTGCAAATGCTGACATAAAGAGAATAGATAGTATATGGTATGTTTTGCAGAACAAATGTGAAAAGAAACAAAAATTGCTATGTGTAACAGTGTGCTTCTGCTCTCTTAGTTATGTGGAGGTGAGAGCTGGGTCCATTCAGAGAAAGAAAGAAACAAGTTGAATGCAATGGGAATAGGTTCCTTAAGAAACACGTGTGGTAAAAGAAGTAATAGGGTCAATGGGTGCTGAATACAACGAGTGGTCATTAAGAAAGAAATTTGCTAAAGTGGTTTGCTTTTAGAGAGAATGAATAAATGCTAAGCAAATATATTAAAGAAGAGGGAATGGGTCAAGAGGAAAGAAAAGACCAAAAAAATCATGTTTGGATGATTAAATCCAGAAAAAGGGAAGAGAACAAAAGGTAGGATATGGCTTAGCATATAGCCATGGTAGAAGAGAGGATGGCTTGCAAACATGGAAAAACATGAAAAGATCTAGCAAATGGTGTTGGTGTCAACAACTTTTAAGTTTGATTCTTTTACTTCTCTCAGGCCTTCCAGTTATTATACCTTTTTGCTTCTATTCTGTACTCTGCAGAAAGTTGCTTACTGTGGTGGACAGGGATGTGTGAGTGTGTGTATTTCTATATTTAAAGCATTCATATTGCTGTTGGACTAGTTTTCTTTTCCTTTCCTTTCCTATTATGGGTGGAAATGGGCATTTTAGGAGACCAGATTACACAGTTCCCCAGAAGATCCATTCAGTGGGGACCTTCTTCACTGGGTTCTGATGAGCCCACCTGCCAACAGAGGTGATGGATGGAGAGGACTTTTTTTAGCTGGATGAGAGACTGATAATAAAATTCTTAGTATCCTCCCCATATGTGTTTCCTAAGATACTTTAGGGGTAACTAATTATGTGTCAAGTGACACAAATTTGAGGCCTAAAATTAATTTCATTTGGGCATGTAGGTATGTGTGTAATTAATACTGGCAATGACTTGTTGACCTTCTATGGGCTTTAGAAGCTAAATAGTGCTGGTTCTGGTTGGTGTTTGGAGAGCAAATCACCAGGGAATCTCAGGAGTGTAGTCTACATTGGGAAGTTGAAAAGAATCCCCAGAAGAAGATAAAGAGAAATCAGTTTCTACTGTGGCCAAGAAAATTTCATAGACGTGTTTATGAAGTCATCAGGATTTGAGCTCAACTCAAAGGAGAGTTAACATTTTTTTTAATTAGTACTAGAAGAGGAGACTACAATCATGCTACATAGTTTGCCTATTTTATTCATTGTCTCTTAATCTCAAGTAACAGTGCTTTACATTATGACCCAAAGGTTGCATTGAGTAGTCCTGAGTCCAGATTAAACATCAGATGATCATTTCTGAAGGGGCCTTGAGCTATGCCCCAGTACTCCTTCAAGTAGATGTGGAGTGGGGAGAAGGGAAGACTTTTTGTATGTATTCTTTCTCCCTTTTATTTCCTGAAACTGGATTTTGCAAATGTTTTGGCGCTTCAGTATTAATTATGAATTGACTCTCCCACCTAGGGTTTTTTTAACGTTAAGCGAGACTTTTCATCATAATATGACCGAAAACACCTTAGTGCTCTAATAATTAATTGTACTTTATTTAAGTTGTTGATTATTTAAGTTTGTTCCCTCGATCCCTTGTTCACATTTTCATTACATTAGAACAAGCCAAGTTTGGAAAGTTTAGTTTGTCAATAAGAGGCCATTTTGGCTTGCAGCTTAGAGAGCAAGATTTGGACCCATGAACTGGTAGGATCTCCCTAGATAGTCCTATTTTGCTCAGATTCCCCATGTCTAAAGTTACAATTATAATAGTACCTCCCAAGATTTTGAGAAGAATGACTAACGTAGCTCTCACAAAGCCCTTTAGATACCCCACCCCCAAAAAGTCTGCAAATTTATGGTCTTGAAATAACACTTTGGATAGCAAAGTGTAAAATAGGTTAGGAATTTAAACCAAAACTGATGACATCGTCCAGGAAGCCCTTTCTCTGTAGATGGAAAAGTCTTCTTTGGAGTGTGAAATGGTCACATAATGTCAAAGCATTCCATGACATAGGCAAGCATTTTAGGACACTGACCTCCAGTTCTGGCTGTTGGATCCTGGATACTTTATAACATATTGTTCTTATGTTGTATTATATCACATTTTCATTATAAGATCTTGCTTCTAAAAGTAAAGTTTGTCCCCACAATCACCTCAACTTCTGGTAAGTGGCCATGAAGTTCCATATTTTTAGCAAGAATATGGAAATGCTTTTTCTCTGCCGGCTTCCAACGTGAGACGACTCTGCTTGTGTCTACTTAAATTCCAAGCCCAGACCAAGTCCCCCCCCCCCCCCACCCGTGCAGCATTAACCTTTTTCAGCCACTCAGTGCATTTTCCATAATGGAAGATTAAGTATCATGCCTGTGTCTTGATCGCTCTTTTCATGTTTGGGAATTACCATCTTCTCCATCAATGTTATAAAAATTGATAGTTAACTATTTTTTTTCTTTCTTTCTGGTTTTCCTCCTGTTAGGAACGACCTTGATGAATGCAGGCATTGCTCCCAGCTTCCTCCACCTCCTCTCTCTGTTTGTTAAGAGCTCCTGTACGTTAATTGATGTTGGCCTCTTCCAAGAGTTAAAAGGTAATTATTTGCCCATTTAGTGTTCTGCTTGTTAAGTTTCCTCACAGGGGCAGGTAGGAAAAATGGGTGAGGTCTGAATGAGTTTGTGTGGAAGCTTTTAGTCTTGCATAATTTCTTAGCTAGAGTTTATTGCCTTTGCTCCCTTAATTTTTAGAAAATCATATCAAGAAGACATTGTAGATATATTTTGTTCTGATTTGCTCTTCTTACATGGTAGATAGACTTCATTTTTAGACCTTTGTGGACGTTAGAGATCGTGTAGTATCATGGCTTTCTGTCCCCAGATTTTGTCCCAGAAAAAAATGTCCCTGCTGGTCTTAACCACCGCCAAGCCTTGCATAAACATTGGCTCAATTAGCTACTAATGTTGATTAGATTTTATGTTATCAGGCTTGAAATTCTGGCTAAAGGAGGCCAAACTGGCAATGATAAACTGAACAGGAATGCTGAGATTAAACTTAAGAAGGGAAAAACATAATGGAGAAGGTAGTCAGGCAGTTTCCCAATTCTTTTTAACCTTGGTTAACCAAATCACCAGCTTTCTGTGTTTGCTGACCCTGAAAAGCTGCAGGAAAACATTTGCTTCAGGAGATTGAAGGAAAGAGTAGAAACTTGACAGCTTGAGTGGAAACATTTATTTTTGCCTTTCCTGCCTTGTCAGATCAGCACGGCAAGCTTTCTAGTGATCAGGACTTACTGCATTTAAGACTTTGCAGATTCTTTGTGGAATAATTATTAAATGCAGGACAGGTGGCATAGGCTAGAAACAGTCCTCTTCATTTGGCTGTTCTTGTGGGGGCTGTTCAGATTCCTTTACTGGAGTTGAATGGATGACCTTAGGTTAGGATCATTTTCTTCTACCTCCTCTTCTTCAAGAAGAGCGATTCTGTTTGCCCTGGCTAGTTGGTATTTCATAGTTAAGAAGAATTTTTTTTTAAAGACTACCCGAGAGTAATTAGTTTCTGCAGATTAAGGGGTTTTTGACCTGCTGAGTTCAAATTGGTCTATCTGTGCCTGAACATTTCACTTCAGTTTTGGAACTAAAACTAATGGGGACAATCATGATGGTTGACTGAAGTCCTACTGGTAAACAGCAGTGGAACCCCACTGCTTCTTTAATTTTGCTGCAGATCTGCCTTTGGACCAGTCATTGATGTCAAAACTTTTAGAAGTCCATGCTAAAAAAATAACAAAAGGAAAAACGGTCTGAAACTTGTTTGGGGTAACATGGTAAAATCTCTTTCCTTTTTTTCCTGTCTGTTTATAATATAAATATATTGTTTTGAAGTCTTAAATAATACACGGCTTGGTGTGTGAACTTGGCTTCTGTGGCATTCCGACAGTGAACAAATTAACATTTTAAAATCACAAATGTTAGGTCAACTCTTAAAATCTGAATTGAAATAATATTTTTAAATGTAAGAAATGATGTAGGGATGTGGTGGAAATATGGATGATCTGCAGAGAAAGAAGGGCTTGGAGAAAAGTAGTGAGAGGGGTTGATGCAAACTACATTTGACTATGTTTCCTTGTTTTGTTTTTTCTTATCTCAGGCCTTAATTTCTTTGGCTTATTCTTTCTGACTACTTTTCTGTTGTTTGCATAATGTTGCTCACTCAAAAGTAAAAAGCATAATAGGTTTATATTTTGTAACAAGGAAGAAAGAAAAATTCAGAACTGCAGAAATGGTATCTGATATTGCTGTAGGACAAACTTTCTATTACCTCCAGTTGTTTTTTTATATCTGCCTTTCTAAATTTCAACTAATTAGTTATTTGCAAGAATCAGGTTACCTCAGATAAGTTCCACATGTCTGAGCATGAAGACAATAAAACGCCTGCAATTTTAGCTTGAAAAGTAATATTGTAGCATTTCTTGCTAATGGCTGCTTTAATTCAGCACTTTCAATATCTTTATATGTTAGAACCCTGTTCATCTCTCTGGGCATAGTCATTTAAAGTTTCTAAATAATCACAAGACTTCAGTAATTGAGGGTAGCTTGTATATAAAGTTATTGTGTCATAAAAAATACACACTACAACAGAGCAATGATTCAAAACAGGTGTTTCATGAAGAGTATTGTGCAGACAAAGCACTCCTCTATGATGCATTAAAGCAGCAGCATCTTTTAGAAATCTTGATACATCTCTTCTGAAGTTTTCCTTTGATTTGGTTTCAAACTGTAATTCTAATTTTCACAAATCAGAAGCATTACTATGGAAATTAAACAAATATCCACTCTTAATATTATGTGATGGAAAAATACTACAAAGTACTTATAGTACTTATTTTATATTCAAGTAGTCTTATGGAAGTTAAGCTTAATAAACGATTTACTTAAAATAGGGGGTATCATATTTTGTTCATCCTGTTTGTTGACTAGGTTCAGAAAAGTAGCGATAGTAAGCAAGATTGTGTTGACAACCATTTTTTTAAATTCGTATCCACTTAATATTTAGAATCTACCTAACACCTATTAATAAACTGGCAAAAAATAATTATGATTCATTTGGCAAAACAGCCCACCTACAGTGGTGAATAGAATATTTGCAAAACAAGTATTAATAATAGCATAATTTCACATGATCAGCTAATTGTACATATGTATGCATTTCAACATTTTCATGTGTGTAATATAAACAGACTGTTACCTAATTAACTATAGATGGTTGTAATAAAGATGAAATATAAAATATAGATATCAACTCTTGGATAAAAGGTATAGTTACTAAATGTTATGCTATAATCAAGTAGAAGGAGTACTAAGAGCTCTTCAGAATTTGAATGGATTGGGGTAGGAAATTGTATTTATCCAGTGGATTGAATCCAATCCCTCATCCACAATCTGGTTCAGACGGCCAGATACTATCAGGGGCTGTCATTCTAATGGACGTCTTGGGGAGATCTTAGTGGAATGCTACCCTCTAATAAGATTCATCCCTGTGTCTTCCCTCACCAAGGAAGCTTAAAATAAATTATTTTAACAACTAATTTACCATAGGTATTTATTGCCTTAGAAGCTAAATAAAATAATGCTGTATCAAAATTACTGTTAAAGATATCAAGCACTTGAAACAGATTTTATGCCATATTTCCTAGTTGTAGACATCTGCTAAGTTAGT